CAGGTACGCTTCCGCTATTCAGTTTTGATTCTCAATTATTCGATATGTATGCTCCTGGATTAAAGCGATGTATTTCGCCTAAAGTTAATTCCAACAAGTGGTATCAGAGCCTCTTCATGTTGAATTTTTGGGAATCAAGTTTTGCTCTATTTTGATTCACACGGCTTGCTGTGCAAATCATGTATATGGATTCAGATTCAATAAATAATTGAAAGTTGAGTTTGTACATCAATTATTTGTTTAAGAAAAGGCACTACAGTATAGATCTCGAATATCGAGAAAATATGTGATTTAGTATATGTTGCTTATTATTTTTTCTGCGACTCCAATCAGTTTCTGTTGCTTGAATTGAGTGGAATTTGGATTCAAATTGAGTAGGGATTTGGGCCCACGGTAATGGGAAAATTGCTCAGTTTGTGGTACTCTATTTTTGATCCATTTATTCCTAATTGAAAGCCATGGCATGATTTTATTTGTTTGGCTGAGGACAATTGTAATGATTGTTATGCTCTCCACTCTCCAGCTTGATTTATTTGCTGCAACTTTGCAACTTGGTTATTTATGTTCATGAACTTCATTTATTTGAATCCTTCAAGCAAATACATAAATTATTTGCATAACCTGAACTAGTGTTATGTGAATTAAGATTAAGCCAGTAAGTTTTTTTTTTTTTTGGTCTTAGAATTTTAAAATTTAAATTCGAATATTGGTATAAAGTTTTATATATTTTGAGATAGATTAATTGAAGCAAAATGTCGCCAAAGCGACTTCTTTTGTGGAAATTAATTTATTTTAAAATATAAAAAGTTAAGGGTGCATGTAATTTGAGTGAGTATTAACCGGCCCAAAGGAAGGGGAGTACTCATTAGAATTACTTGTGCTATTGCGGTAATAAACGTGTGATGATTATTTGGTTATACATGTGAACAATAAGTCGGCCCAAAGGAAGATTTATTGTTTGATATGTTCTTATTGTCAATGTTTGATTACTGCATCAAGATGTAAATTACAAGTTAATATTTTGTCCAAAGATAAAATATTAATGGAGTTACGATGTCTT